TGTCTATCATGATATGGATCACTACACTTTTGATACCAAATTTTAAGTTAGACTAAATGCAAAAGGAACGAACAACAGGAGATTATTGAACGCTTGAAATTATATCTTTAATCAGTTTAATCTATCTGTGATGACATTAATTGCAAGATAAACCTAAAAATATTGTTGATAGTGTTGATACAAATGAATACGACAATTTTACGTATTTAAAAGAAAAAAGACAAATACTGCGCAATCAAACAATATATCTCGGATAATTGCAAATTATCTTTATATAATAAATATGATGAAGTAAAAGATTATCCACCTATATTAAAACGCGCGTTTATAAAATATAATCAGTATCGTCGTTATTAGGTATACAACTTTGCTTCCGCCATTTTCCTATAGATGGCTTTAGCGGTAAGTGGTGGTCGAAATAAATAGATCATAGACGTCATACAATAAACTTGGCATCTGTCAACATAACCCCATAGAAACATTAGTCGATTTGTGTCTGCATCATAAAGTTATTCTCGATTGAAAATGTCAGTTTACGAGCCAAATTCTCGTCATTTGCGGGAGGTTTTAATTTTTTGCTTCAATATGAAGAAATCTGCGGCTGAGCCTCATCGAATGCTCTCAAATACTTATGATGAGGCCGCTATTAGTGAAAGAACGTGTTGTGAGTGGTTTCAAGAACGGTGATTTTGACGTCGAAGACCGGCATAGCGGTGGAAGAGAGAAAATTTTCGAAGATGCAGAATTGGAGGCATTACTTGAGCAAGACTCGTGTCAAAATCAAGAAGAATTGGCACGATCATTGGGAGTGACTCAACAAGTCATTTCAAAACGCCTCAAAGCCATGGGAATGATTCAGAAGCAAGAAAATTGGGTGCCGTACGAATTGAAGCCGAGAGATGTTGAACGGCGTTTGTTTGCTTATGAACAGCTGCTTGAAAGGCAGCTTGAAAGACGGAAGGGATTTCTGCATCGCATTGTGACTAGGGACGAAAAATGAGTTCATTACGATAATCCCAAGCGCAGAAAATCATGGGGAGTTCCCGGCCATGCTTCCATGTCGACGGCCAAACCGAATATTCACGGCTCCAAGATCATGCTCTGTATTTGGTGGGACCAGTTTGGCGTAGTGTATTATGAACTGTTAAAACCGACTGAAACAATCATAGACGATCGGTATCGAACGCAATTGATGTGTTTGAGCCGAGCATTGAAAGACAAACGGCCGCAATACAACGAGAGACACGATAAAGTGATTTTGCAGCATGACAATGCTCGACCCCATGTTACGAAAATGATCAAGGCATACTTGGAAACGTTGAAATGGGAAGTCCTACCCCACCCGCCGTATTCTCCAGACGTTGCTCCCTCTGACTATCACTTGTTTCGATCAATGACACGGCCTGACTGACCAGCACTTCCGGTCTTATGAAGAAATAAAAAATTGGATCGATTCGTGGATAGCCTCAAAAGATGAGCAGTTTTTTCGACGTGGGATTCGTACGCTACCCGAAAGATGGGAGAAAGTAGTGGCCAACGACATGGATAATACTTTGAATCATAAATGTATAATCAGTTTTTTACAATAAAGCCTCGAATTTCGGAAAAAAAACGAAAGCAAAATTGTACACCTAATAACTTTATTAATTTTGTAAAGCCATTAACTTTAACTTTATTCAGTTAAAAAAAAAACATTAACTTACCCAATCCTGCTAAAAACTCATTTTTAAAAGCTTAAAAAGAAAGATTTATATCGATCTGCAAATAACGTGTATACAAATGCTGAATGAACTCAGAATAATAAATATAGCGATAATTCTGTCTAGCAATAGATGTTTGATCTTGCAAGTGATGGCGTTGCAATATGTTAGATAAGGATAAATTTATGTGTTTGAGACAGAATGATAATGTATTGTAAGAAATGAAATATTATAAATGAAATATTATAAAAAAAGATTATTGACTTTTTTTTTATTTGAAATCTAAAAAATCTGTACTATCGACATCGATCAAGTTTGATGGTCACTCCAGCATCCTCTTAAAGTAAATAAATAAGATAAAATTATATTACTTTTTTTTCATAACCATCTGCAAAGTCTGTTAAAGTAGTTTATTATGTAGTAAACACGATTACGATAACTGTGGCCCCTCTTTATAAAAAAGATTTTTGGAAGCATTTATAAAGAGCAATACAAGAAAAATAGTAAAAAAATTCTCTAACCAACAAATACCAAAATAACTAACAATTAAAAATCATCGCTTCGTGTTTAATTTGAGTTTAATTTGAGAGAGATGAATTTTAAATTTGTAAACGGATTCTTTCTTATTAAATTGATTAAATAGAATAAAATTATATACAGTAAAGTCTGTATATTTTTTCTTATACGTCAGTTGCTAAAACAAAAAAAATGTCTCTATTCGTTTATAGAATAGAGATAATATCAGGAGTGTCTCGGCGCTAAGTCATGCGTATTATCGTTTCTTTATGCGGACCTCGATTTTCATAGATATCAATGAATTATTGAAAACGACACATGTCTTTAATATTTTTAGTACAACATGATAATATACTTTTATTGGTCGTATAGGTAATGTTTATAATTTACGTATCTAGTTTATATTATATCCAATTCGACCATAGATGAAAGTATTGTTAAACAAAGATTTTACCTTTCGAATGAGGAAGTTTCTTCTAGAACTGCCGCGACAAGAAAAGGAAGTACTCTATTGATCGATAAGTTCCATTCGCAGGGAACTTAGTAACATACTGGATGACACTTCTATCAATAATGGAACCTCGATATCCTCTATAATTTACGTTATGTTTGCTGTCAAAGAAATAAATACTTCTACCGTTCTATATGTACAAGCTACGCGTCATAATTCGCAGAATTGTGCCGCGATAATATAATGAAACTCAATTGTAGAGATGTAGTATTTGCATTATACATAACTTGCCCGAGATCTTAAACTATGTCTCGCATCAAGCGGGTGAAATAAAAGTCTGAAATAAATTTCCTAAACAAAGTTAGAAACAAAGAATCTTTTTTTGTGATTAAAATTATGAACGCCAATTGGAGTCACTATTATGATGTCATTAAGAAAGTATCATCATTGTCCGGCCAGTGGCCCTATCAGAGACCAATATTGAGATTGTTTTGTGTAATTTTAATAACTTTGAGCACGATTTCAATGATTATTCCACAGGTCATTAATTTTAAATAAAAAGTGACAACTGGGATAATGAACTTTATGATGATTATTTGAATTTGTAGATAGCTAAATTTGTTAGGTGCGACGGAAACTTGCAATGCATTTTTGAAACTATGACGTCCTATATGTTAACAACCGTAACATTGATCAAATTATATACATGTTACTTTAACCGATGTAAAGTACGTAAAATTTTCCGTTATATTATATATACAAGAGTATGAGTTCAATATACATTAATGTTATTATTTAAGTATAATATTAATTGTTGACACTTCTAGATAAAAATTCTCATTGATCAATTAATCATTGACTGGAACGAATTGGAAACACCAGAAGAATACGAAATTATGAAAAAATATGCCAAGAATAGCAGGAGATATTCCTTGGGATACTCGTGTAAGAATGAATTATGCAATTTTAGTCTTCACTTCTAGCTGTTTTCATTTTCTGTTTTTAAAATTATAGTTTAATTAATGTTGGATGAATGCTTTTTCTGTGTTGCAGTGTACTGCTATTTTGCTGTGTATGTGTTTATGTCTGTGTCTCTCATACCACAAATATTGGATGTCGTTTTACCTCTCAATGAATCTCGTCCTATACTGCCGACATATCCAGGTTATTACTTCATTGATGAGAGAAAATACTTCTTCTATATCTTTTCACATGCTATCATGGCTTGGGAAATTGCTATGACTGGAATAGTCACTCACGACTGCATGCTTCTAACTTACATCGAACATGTCTGCAGTATTTTCGCTCTAGTTGGGTAAAAATAAACTAAACTATTGAATTAGCAAACTATTTCAAATGTCACGCATATTATTGCAAATATATATATAATTTGCAGATTTCGTTTCGAACGATTGACATATAAACATAACGATGCCATGAGAATTTTACATTTTCATACAAGTGACATGTATCACAAACAAATTGCGTTTTTCGTATATACGCATCGGAAGGCATTAAAGTAAGTAGTGTGTATACATTTTAATGCCAACCGTTCCAAATTTCAACTTTTCCTTCCATTTTAAATGCGTTTCAAATTTTGTCCCAAATTATGAACATGATTATAAATCCTCCTTTTTTAAATGTAAAAAAATAATAAATGTAGAATAAAAAATAATAAATACAAATAATAAATAAATATAGTAAGTAAAAATAATAAATGTGCAATAGAATTTTTTATTAATATGTGAAGAATTTTAGATTTTTTAATTTAAAAATCGAGATATTTTATTCATAAAATACATTCATAAAATACATAAAAAAGTTGGAGGAAAAGTTCTGCAGAATT